CATTAAAAATAATCGAAGACGTATTTAAAAAAAGGAAAAATAATTAAGGAAAGTTTCTGGACATTAGGGGCTAGCACATCTTTGTATCATTAGATGATGAAGTACTTAATTGATGTAATTGCTGAGTAATGGCCAGAGTACCACTTTCACTTACTGTAATAGTTACCCAAATAACATCTAAATAAAAAAATAATTAATAATATTAAAAATTAATTTATAATTAAAATAATAATATATATTATTATATTATATTAATAAAATTATAATTAAAGTAATAATAATAATATCATAAATATGCAATAATAATAATATAAATGAATTCACCTCCAAAAAAAGTTTCTGTAGATTTTACCATCATCCTCCATTTACTTTTAAATGTACCACAATATGGAGGACTTTGAAGGTCCACACTTATTACTGTTATTTCTGCAGGACCTAAAGATGGAACTGGTACCCTTGTACATGCACCCATTTGTACTCCTCCAATATATTGTAAGCAAACTCCTTCAGGCCATGTTTCTGTACCACTATTTTGTATATGCCAAGATTTTTGAAAATTAGTGAGTGGTGGTATTGATTCTCCTTCACCAATAGTGCTATCACATATCAGTGTCATACAAGGAAATTTATTTTGAACTGGAGATTCAAAGTCAAAATAACTACATATAGCTGCTTGGAGATTCCTGTAATTGTATGTTATATATATGTAAATTTGTAACAATTATTTTATCTTAACAAAATATCTTCAGTAGTTTAACAAATATATATTCAAAACTCATTACTTTTTCCTCTTTTATTATTTAAAATTTATTATTATAATATATATATATATAATATATATTATATATTATATATTGTTATATATGATTTATATATTTTATTATAATTTTCCTAAATAAATAACATTCTAATTAAATAATTTTATTATAAAATACGTAGTTTCTACATTAATAATACATATACAATAATTTTAAAAAATCAAACAAAATATTATATCTGTAATATTATATCTGTAATTATGAGACATCAATAAGATAAATAAGTAACTTTCGACAAGATAGTACTACCTAGATTATAAATATGGCGATGGTAGGGTTAGGTTGCAAAATTAAATTTGATTAACACAAAACGAATACGCGGTAGTGTATCTCACCAATTATTCATATCCAGAAAGAACGCAGCAGTAGTTTCATTTAGCTGGCTACCAGCCAGCAACTTCTGCAGCTGTTTCACCAGATCGTCCTTGTCGGTGGTGCCTAGACAACTAAACTGGTGAATCAAATGCTGGTCCACGTTGTCCATGTTCATGATGCGTTTTCTCCCTCGTTCAATACTCCATGTAACACAACTGTCACACACGTACGGAACCGTGAGACGCGTTCTGTTATCGTTTGATCTTTAACAGCAAATTTTAAATGTCATTCTTCATGACGTTCATCCGTGCGCAGTAGGTGCATGCATCTATACTGTACACTCTATACAAAAAATATAATAATTATGAATATATACAGTTCGTAGATGGTAGAATTCGCGTCTGATAATTTTCGTCCCTTTATAATGCGATATTACCTTGACCTTGAGCGCTACTAGTCAGCGAGTTTTTATAATAGATAAATAAATATGCAAAACGATTCTATCTTTCACGAAATCAGTCATTCGTTATATAAATGCAATCTAGATTGCACGAATTTTAATTATTATTAATTTTTGATAATATATTTTAATTAAAATATAAAATCTATTTTCTGTTTTTTCTAAAAAATGCATTCTACGCAATAAAATTATAGAATTATTTTAAATTAGAAGATTTAAAATTTTAATTTTTGTGAATAATTATATCAATAATTATCAGGAATTAAAATTTCGATAAATAATTATTGGTTATTAACAGTTTAATATTTAAAAATAAAATAGATATGAAATAAAAAAATTTTTATCTTCTATGTTACACATATATGTAGTAATTATAAAATAGAAACAAAAAATGCGGGAATTTTAAATTATATTTTCTTATTAAACAAATAATTTTCATAATACATTGAAAAAAAATAAAAACCAATTTATTATCAAAAGAAATTTGAAAAATAAATTTTATTGATTTTTAATGTATTTATATTATCATTTCTATATTTATTAATATTATATTTCTATGTATTCAATATTTTTTTAATTTTATATTTTTTTAATTTACATATATATTCTTTACTGTTATTATGTATGAATAATGAATAATAAAATCAAATTTATATTTTCTATATTTATAAATAATCCTAATTTCCTATATATAAGTAATGCTAACTGATATACAAATTATTTGAGATATTGCTACAAAATGATATAAAAATTTAATGTAATAGAAATTTTCTGTTTTTTTTATGCAAATGCTCTTGAGTACTTTTCTATTATCGCACCACGCATGCGTCCATGTCCCTTCCATTCCGATCAAAACTTGGAGATGCGCACGCATTACACCGCGTAACAGTTGAAATACGAAAGAGAAGACAGTCGTGGTCCGAAGTTGATCATGTAGATATTCCAAAAACGTCCGATCGCAAGGTGAATTTACGTACAAAGTGAACGAAAAGAAATCGGTGTCGATTGAAAACGAGAATGTGGTCTGCAATGAAACATCTTTGAATTGCGTAAACCAGTGGCTACATTCTTTAGTCGCGAGTTCTTTTACTAATAATCCAAAGTTCTTTTTTTAAAGAAAAGCGAACTCAGACATCGATGAAACGTTCAAAATTCTTGAGAAATTATTTTTTTGTAGACATTAGGGCATCGTGATGAAAGTTGGAACTTATTGTACGATTAATAGTTCCGTTTCGGCGATCGTGGAATAATCGGTTTGAACTCGACGAAATCGAAACACTGAGAGAATTGAGGTAAGTATATGAATTCTTATATATGACATTACAATCAATTGGAGCAAATTGATATTTGATATATTTGATATATTTCATATTATTTTTATATTTTCATAAATATTTATGAATATTGAAAAATAAAAATAAAAAAAATTTTTTATTCGAGTTTGAAATTATTTTCATTTATTTTATTATCGATTTATATTTTTTACTTTTTTTTTATTTGTATTTTTTCTTTATATTCTTCATTTCTATTTTAGAAAATTTTAATTATATATTTTATAGTATTTTAATCTAAATGATAATTTACAACATTTTGAAAAAGATATTTTTTTATTTATTTCATTAAAATATCTTTTTATTATTAATTATATTATTTTATTTATATTATTAAATTATTGAAAAAAAATTATAAAAAATTAATAAATTAAATATAAGAAAAATTAAAATCAAACAAAAATCTTAAGAATGAAATTTCACAATGAAATTTTAATATAATTAATAAAATAGAAAATAAAATAAAATTGGGGTTTATTATTTGGTAGTAATTTATATTTATAATAATCTAGTAGTTTATATTTATATAAATATTCAAAATAAAAAGAAAAATGCAAAAAAATAATTTTAAGTATCCTTAGAACTTTAATAATATTATGATAATTATTTTATATAAAATGATTTTTTTCCATAATATGAATAAAAATGATCAAAATATTATTTTTAAAATTTATTAATTTTATAAATGTATATTTATATTAATAGAGAATATTGTTCTGTTAATTATTTTGTAAATTTTCATAATATATATCTTGACGAATGCAATGAATCGATTTTAATTCGATCTTGTCTATGTGATTTTATAAATTCTTAAATGAATAAAAATTAGATTAAAGTTAAAAAATCATAAAATAATATAACTTTAAACGCATTTATATTGTAATTAATTTTTTGTTATGAAATGAAATAAGAATGACGATATATATAGTATTACATATAACAATGCTAAATAATTTTGAACCGATATAAAAACATATTCGATATTTTCCAAGTACTCAATTTTATAAACATTTTCTTTATTAACTTTTGGCTGAAAAAAAAAACTTGAAATGTACATAATATATATATAAATACATATATATATATATAAATTAGGAAAGAATTAGAAAAGAACAGTTCATATAATAGAAATTTTCTAATTTTTTCTTTGAATATATATGATTTCTTGTTCTAATAATAAAAGTTTAGAGTTAAGTAGATTTAATTGACAGAATTTCAATTAATCGATCATTTTATTTCAATAGAAAGAAGAAGAACCTGTCGAGAGATAACCAGGTTCATAAACACAAACTGAAGTTGCTTATATAATAAAAGTCCTTTAATTTTTTCTTTTTGTTTATGATTTTTCGTTTTATTAATAAAATTTATTAATAAAATTTCGTATTAAGATTCCATTAAATATTTGTTCATAAATATATGATAGTATTTGAAACTATAGAAATTTAGTGGCTATAATAATTTTTAATATTCAATAAATAAATTATTTTATATCGAAGAAATGAATTTAAACAATCAATTTGTATTTCTAATTATATATATATAATTTGAACAATTTGTATTTCTAATTATATATATTATATATATAATAATAATATTTATTATATATATACATATATTACATTTTAGAAATATTAAGCAATATATTTAGATAATAGAAATACAACTTGAAAAGAATTAAATTTATAAAATCAAATTTTATTATAAATAAAGTTCAAATTAGTTAAATTTTATAATACAAATATTAATATAACTTCTATGTTTTAATTAATATAATTAAATTAAATATTTAATTAATATTTAATTTATTTATATTTAATTATTAATAAAATAAAACTTCTTTTCTAACAGCATGATCGGGCCATCTGCTGGCATCGGTGATGTCCCAGAACACGAGTTATCAGATAATCAATCCCGTGGCGGAAAGAAGCGCATTTTCGAGGATTTGGATATCGAGAACTTTTGCGAAGAGGTTCAAAACGGTCATAAACGATATCAATACCAAGAAATCGAGGCTCCAATGGAAATGGTTGCCTCCAATCAAGTGATAAACGACACTGCATCCTTATTCTCACCGTTATCGGCTCAAGAAGCTGTGGATGAGTGTTCAGTCGGTCGATTGGAAGTCCTTCTCGTGGATGGCACTAATTGTACCTGGACAACCGTCTCAGAATTGGAATCGCAGCAAAATATCGCTGATATTACGGCTTCACCATCTACATCTACTTCATCGTCGGAAAATAGACAAGAACAGGTGATACAGGAGGTTCAAATCGAGGAAACGAGTTATCCCATTGATTGTGATTATTGGGAACCAGTTGTCACAGTCCAATCATCCAATATACAACAAAATAAGCCCATGATGCCTTCTGGTAGTAATCAACAGCAACAGTTTGATGATCAAGAAACTGGAAATCTTTCCTGGTTACTGGATTTTAAATTGGATCCTTTTATCGAAGCCGCAGACGAGAAATCCACTGTATCTTTATCCAAAGACATTCACAATGGTGCGAAGATGTTCAACAAGCTTTTTTAATGAATCCTTTAATCATATTATTTTATTTTTTACAAAATTCTTAACAAAATAAAATTGATTCTTGATTTGAATTATTATAAAATATAGAATAAAGATATATGAACATTGAGAAAAAATGATATATGAACATTAAACATAAAATATTAATTCTATTTCTAGAATTATTTACTATATGATTTTAAGAAATTGTTTACTTTTCTTATTTAGGAAACAAAGCAAGGATGAATGGACGTTCTTATGGATCTGCCTACATTAACGATGCTAAAAGGAGTTGCAATGAGAATGGATCGTTGCATCAGGAATCAAATCATAATTATTCTAGCCTCGACAATAGAAATTTCGCGTCTTCCCGGTGTAATGGCCCAAAGAAACCGCCTTTCACATATACAGAACTGATTGAACACGCTCTGCGAGAAAGGGGAGAGCTTACGGTATCAGCTATTTACCAGTGGATCTCGTAAGTACTTTAGAACAATGTTATAATGTGATTGTAGTACTTTGTATTACAAATTTTTAAAATTTAATATGAGATTAAATTACATATTATGACATATAAAAAAATATTAAATTAATCATTGATATTTATTATTATCAAAATTTTTTTTTGATATCATGAATTTATTAAATTATTAATTAATTTCGTTATATACATTATTTTATATCAATATATATATATATTATATTATATTATTATATTATAATAAATTCATTGATATAAAACATAAAATTCATTAGTAAAAAATTAAAAGACAGACATTCACATACTTATCTAACTTCAAAATAAAATTTAAAATAAGAAGTTCATATTCCAAATATTATCACTTTTTTTTATTTTATCCAATACAATAATTTGAAAGAATAATTTAAATATTTGAAAAATTGTAATCAATCACTATTTCGTTTTTAGCTAAATGAAATTCAACTCTAAAATTAGTATTATAGAATATACTATAAAATATAAAGAATTGATTAATTAAAATAATAAATATTATTTAATTAAGTTAATTAAATTAAGAAAAGAAATTAAAATGAAATGAAATAAATTAATAAATATTGTACTGCAAAATATCTGCAGAACTTAAATAACGATCTATTATAAATCTTAACTTTTTCTATAAATAATAAATTTTATAAATATTTTATTAAAACTAGATAGGAAATAGTACATATGATATATAGAAATTTCAACTAATTTTATAGATTCTATCGATATAATATAGAAAAAAATAAAATTTATTTAAAATATTTTAAGGAGAGCATTAAAAATAAGTTCAATTTCATTATCTGTATTTTATCTATATATATTTCACGAACCCACGATCGAACAGGTGAAAGCATGGAGGTAGTAAAGTGCGCACGTCGTGTTATTGGGAGAGGGAGAGGGTTGGAACAAATGAAAGAACCGGTACCAACTGGTACCATCATGTAGCGAGGGCAGCGGTGCCAAGGGGTACCATCTAAGAACACGAGTCTCCCCAATAGACCACCCCCGCATCAACATAAAATATAGTTCTCGTAAATTTATAGAAACGTTTCGTTTCGTACATTTTTTACGATTCTAAGAAAAACGATGTATAAAATGTACATTCCGATTAATTATTAAAAATTAGAATATTTAAATATTATTAATTCACAAAGGAATTCGTATAAATTAAATATAATATAATATATAAAGTTCGCAAAATATGAATTTATTTGATTATTTTTGATATTTGAGCATATGTTTAGTAATAATAGTTAAATATTTAATAATAATAGAAATAGAATATAAAAAAAATTTAATATTTTCTCCTTTCTCTTTTCTTATCTTTTCTTTATATTACAATTTCTTATTACTTTTCTTTATTACAATATATATCAAACAATTTATATTTATATAATTAAAAAAAATATTTGTCAACTATTATATTTTTTTAATTCCAAACTGAACAGTAATAAAAATGAATTAAAATTATGGAATTGAATGAATTATTTTTGTTACATGATTATTAGAACGGTTATTAGAACAGATAAAACTATTATTAAATTTATAAAGCGTTCCATTAATCTTTTTTTTCCAATAGCTGGAAAATTAATTAGAGAAGTAATACTTATGACGAGTATGTGTACAATGTTGTGATATCGCCATAAATCGCAGGAAAAAAAATTATTCTCATCGGGATATAGACTTACCGATATTGAATAGATAGGAACTATTTAAACATTTTTTATTATTCTAAAAATTTATTTATTATTCTAAGAGTAACTAATAAAATTATATTTTTTTTTATAATCCATTAACTTTCTCTGTCAATTTTTTTATCTACTTATATCATAAAAAATTAATTAAATATAAATTTAAATATATTTTTAGAGAACATTTTCCGTACTACAAAAGTAATGACGATCGTTGGAAAAACTCTGTTCGACACAATCTATCCATAAATCCACACTTCAGAAAAGGATCAAAAGCACCACATGGAGCTGGACACTTATGGGCTATTGCAAACCGCTCTGGAGATTCCAGACCCAGACAAACCATTAATAATTCTATCATTAATTCTTCTACGAAACAAATAAGCAAGAACAATATAGAGATTGAAAATCTGAGGAAAAATGTCAGGTAGTCAATTGCTACTCTTATATTATTTGAAAAATTATTTTATTATGTATGTTGTTATTTATATGAAATATAAATATATATTTTCAGTCAAATGAATCCAATAGATGAAGTAGAAGCAGCAACTGCCAGCATTACACAACAGTCTAATGAAGAAGAGACTGAGAACATAGTAAATTCTGTAACATTAGAGCATTGTGCTGAAGAAATTCTTAGTGGTATTAAAAAAGAAGTAGAAGTACAATATCTTGTTCCCATGATGGTGTCCAATAACGAATCAACTCATCCTAATCAACAAACGCAAGAGCTTCATTATCCTGTGAAAGAGAGTGGTAATCTAATTAATTAAATAAAAGATTAAAATTATATAACTAAATTCAACTTTTAATACATATTTTTAGATTTTCTCAATCCAGTATCAAAAGAAGTAGTCGCAGAAGAATGCGGACTAATAAGTGAAGGATATCTAGTTACAGACTTAAATCCTACTGCTTTGGGTCTAAACATGATTGAGCCAGAAATTATCACGCCTGAAAATCTTTTTGGGGAGGAATTAAGTTTTCAGTTTTATGAATTATCATCTCCATCACAAATTCAATCTGCCTGACATATAGAGAAAAATAAACTGCGATTTATTGTTATTGACGAACTGCATGTGCAAAATATTCAGGATTGCAATCAAGTGAAAAACGAAGAAGACATTTACAGTGTTATTGATAAAAAAGAATTTCAAGAAGAATTTCAAGAGTCAATGGTCGAAAGCTGACTTTTCTAATAATGTTATGACGAGATTTATATAGAAACCAAAATAAAAAGGTTATTAAACTTTTTCAAGATTCTCAAAACATATACGTGAATAAAGCTGAATGAAAAGCTACATATTATTACTCCATTGTGCCTGGATATGTTTTAAGGAGTCATTTAATACTACGCATTAGTATAGTTTTCTTTTAGCCCTTACAAAATAATATGTACCGTTTTTTGTATTAGCAAAAGTAAATACAATATTTACTCTATGAGCTGTAAATATTATTATTCTTTTAAATTCCGATTACTTTGGAAGTTTTATATACTGAGAAGATTTAACTAACAATGAATGTTTGTAAAGCGTTCATTTTACTATGTAGAAATTATTTTACAATACAATACGTTTTCATCAAACTGTCTATTTCGTAAATTTTTAATTATTATTTTTTAGAATCAGCTTCATTTTTATTTTCAGCTTCAAGATCTTCATTTTGCTGTTGTGCTTGAATTAATCGTTCTGCTAATCTTTTTTGTCTTTCCAACATCTTTGCTTTCTTAAGTTCCTTCTTTTTCTTTTTCTCATCTTTCTCTGCTAAAGTTATTGCCTCTGTTAGTGAATGTTTGGAAATAGTTCCTTGAGCTATCAACTGACGTCTGATTTCTTCAATTTTACGTTCTTTTCGTTCTTTAGCTTCTAATTCTGCTGCTTCTTTTTCAGCAATTTTTGTTTTTATTTGTGCTATCAATTTTTCCATACCTGACATTTTATTAGCTATTTGTATTTGTCTACAAACATATAAAATATAAATATACATTTAAATCTTTTATCAATCAATCTAACCATTTTTTTAACATACCTAGCTTTTAAAATCTCTTCTTTCTTTTTCTTTTCTTCTTTAATCTTTTGCAATCTTTCTTGGATACTTAAAGGAAAAGCAATTTTTTCATATTCTTTTTGTTCTTCTACTTCTTCAAGTGTAGGCCATGCCAATCCTGCAGGTATTCCTAAAGCTGCCATTCCATATCTTCCTAATATTCGTTTCTTGTATTTAATTGTATTATGATACCATTCTATAGATTCATTGTAAGGTTTTTGTTCAAACAATCTATTTCTATCAGCAAATGATAATCTTGACTTATTTCTTTTTTTTTCTAGCTCAGAATTATCTTTTGTTTCTTCTAAATAGATTGGTTTTTCTTCAGCGGATTCAAGAATCTTATTTGAACAATAATATCTTATATTCATATTTTGAAATTTTAAACTCAATGATATATCGAAGATTATTTTTTTTAAAGACATTTTCTGCATTTCCTTCTATTTATTCACAATATTTATATTTTTTTATAATTTTATATTTTTTTACAATAATGCAGAATTATTATTAGCTATTAAAAGTAAAAAGATGAAATATTAGGTTAATTATTATTTCACTAAATATTAAATTATGCAAAATATAAAATATTTTTTCAATTTATTTAAATTATAAATTATAATATTTTTTTGAGAGATAATTAAAGACATTTCTATTTAATATTTTTTATTAAAATAAATAAGCCTACCTTAAATATAATTTACTATTAACTATATATAACATATAAATATAAAGTAGGGTTATGTATATACAATAATTACAATAGATTATAGTGTGACATAAACGACATAAACATGTACACATGAGAACAAATTTAATAATTTGACGTTATATAACATAATAATAAATAAATATTTTAAATATTAAATAATAATAGTTTCTCTTAATATTATAAATAAAAAAAATTAATAAAATTTAATATTTTACTTTATAGTAATTTGTTTAAAAAATAAACGATAAAATGAGTCGGTTAGCAGAGGTACAATATAATTCATTAATATAATTAATATAATAAAATTAAATCTTATATTTTGCAATGTAAGAAATAAAAATTAAATAGAATTTTATTTACAGGTAGCTAGTGAACAATCATCCGAAAAATGTAAAACTTTTGTATTTATGGGTGAAGGTTATACTTTAGGAAATTCATTAGTCTCCGTAATTTCACAAAAGTATATTTATATATTAATTAAAACATAACTTTAGCAATAGCATAAGTTTCTAATTACTAATTATTTTGTATATAGTCCTAATGTAGAATTTTGTGCTTGTTTCGTTAATCATCCAGCAGAAGGAAACATATACTTAAGAATTCAAGCAAAAAGAGGAAAAGCAATAGACATATTAAAGAAAGGATTAGAAGATTTTGAAAAAATTTGTGATCACACTTTAGAAAGTTTTAATAATGCTTATGATCAGTTTAAGACTTCCAAAAATACATCTGTAGATAGCATATAGATAAATTATTTTGTTTAAATAAAAATAAAATAAATTATAGTACAATTGTGCTCAATTTATTTCCTATAAAATACCTATTACCTATATGACATAATACCTAAATATACCTAAAATATTAATTAAAAAATAAGGAATAGGAAATAAAAGGAAAAATAATTACAATTAGATACTTTGCATGGAGGTTTATTGTTTAAACAACCTCAGCAGGTCTCTGTCCACCCACAACTCTGTGATTCTTAGATAAATAATCTGCAAATTCTTGATATGGCGCTTTTCTTAATGCTTGATCATGCCAGAGATCTGGTGTTAAATATGCATAAGTTTTGGCAATAGCTGCATAAGTAGCTTTAGCAAAATTGCCAAGAGTACATGTGGATCCTCTAGCCGAAGTATAGCAATCCTCAATACCAGCCATTTGTAATAATTTTTTAGGCACAGGAGCTGAAACAATACCTGTACCTCTTGGTGCTGGAATTAGACGCACCTGAACTGATCCACACTTGCCAGTAACTTTACAAGGCACTGTATGAGGATCACCAATTTTATTTCCCCAATAACCACGGCGTACTGGCACAACTGAAAGTTTAGCCAAAATGATAGCACCACGGATAGCAGTGGCTACTTCCTTAGAACATTTTACGCCTAAACCAATGTGACCTTTGTAGTCACCAATAGCTACAAAAGCCTATAAAATAAAAATGAATTATTAGTTAAATTTTTATTGGATTAATAGTTTTATTAATCAAATATATAATGTTACTTTGAAACGTGTACGTTGACCAGCTCTAGTCTGTTTTTGTACAGGCATGATTTTTAATACTTCATCTTTCAATTCAACACCAAGAAATTTATCAATAATTTCATATTCTTTGATTGGTAAAGAAAAAAGATAAATATGTTCCAAGGATTCAATTTTTCCATCTCTAACAAGACGTCCAAGTTTAGTCACTGGAATCCATTCTTTACTGTCTTCTTTGCCACGTCCACGACCACGACCTCGACCTCGACCTCCACGACCTCTACCTCTTGGACCTCCACGGTCACCTCCTCCACGAGAACCAAATCCTCCACGAAAACCTCCACGCGCGGCTGGAGCAGTGTCCGCCATTCTGATCAAAAGTAACAGAAAAAATTTCATATTTATTAAACGAAAAATTATAAAAAATTATAAAATTGTATTTAATAAAATTATTTTTCATTAATTTAATGTTTAAAAACACAATTTTTTTAAAGAAATAATTAATTATTTGATAGAAAAAAATATCTAACAAAGATATTTTTTAACCTCAAAACACGTGCCTTTGATATTTATTAGACATATTTAAACATTAAATAAAAAAATATGATTTTTATAATATTTATTCAATAGATAAAATCTTAAATAATCATAAGAACATATCAAATATATTTTGTGAAGATTTTAATAATGAAATTTTAAGAAATGATCATACTATACTTACGTTATTTCTTTCTTCTGATTATGATTACGGAAGAAAGATTGATCAATTCTCTCGAAGTTGGCATGTTAAATATGTCGATATATCTCGATTTAGTTTCACATCCGTTATTTAAACTTCAATTACATATTAATAAAACACGAACTATTAGTTTTTATTCAACTTATTCCCTAATTAACGTTTTACTTTCTTTTGCTCCTTTTTAATTCCTTAACAAATTATTTCACAAATGTTTAAAATAATATAAAGTAGGAATGGACATAAATTCTGTTATCATGCTTTATATTTAATGATATTTAATTAGATAAAATGATTAAATAATTGGTATTTTCATTGTCAAAACTCTATTTTATTACAATCTTGCTTGGTAAATAAAAGTAAGTGAAAGAAATAATTCTAAATTATGACAAAATATAACAATAGTTATAAAATATATTAGTAATTTGAAAAAAATTTTTAATATTAATGTAATATTAATTTTTATTAATTTTAATCAGCAATTACCTAACCATCATGATATATATTATTAAATAATAAGATAAAATTATAGAAACGAAATAAGAAATATAAATTTAATAATAAAATAATAATATATTTTTTTTATGACAAAAAATGAAATAATTATAAGTTATGATAATAGAACCAGTAGGATGTCACTTGTGGATTGTGAAATCTCATGACGAGTTTGAGTCAGACTTCATCCGAGGAGGCAGTTTTATTCGCTCGCGGTTATAAATTCTTAAAAAAGCTGGGTGAAGGTGCTTACGCAAAGGTTAATTAACCATCTCATAAATCATATTATAAAATGATACGGTAACCAATTCATAAAAAAGATGATAAAATTCAAATTCTTTTTCATCTCAGTCGGTAAAGTCATTTTCTATATTTAAATTTGAATCCTATAATCAAATAAAATTCTTCAATTTTTCTTCAATTAATATTACATAAAATTCATCATCGTTATTTAATCGTAGGTATATCTGGCGGAGTATAAACCGGAATCTGATCCAGACAAAAATAGTACCTTGGCATGTAAAGTTATAGATACAGGAGTAGCACCTAAGGATTTTGTACGAAAATTTCTTCCTCGAGAACTTGATATCTTAGTGAAATTGAATCACCCTCATGTAGTGCATGTTCATAGCATATTTCAAAGACGTACTAAATATTATATATTTATGCGTTATGCTGAAAACGGTGATCTCCTAGAATTCATTTTGAAGAATGGTGCGGTTGCAGAAGGACAAGCGCGCGTATGGTTTCGTCAACTTGCGCTTGGTATCATAATATATGACAATGAAAATTAAAATATATTTTTAAATATATTATAATGAAAATTATATTTATCAAATTTTATAATAATTTGATAAATATAAATATTTTCATGAAATTTTAATGATTCTTTATTTAAAAATATAATAATTTATTTCAATAAAAATAAATATGTAATATTATTTTATATACTGTTAGAAAGTGTTATTCTATACTTCGAATTATATAAAATTATATATAATTTAATAAATTTTTACTGATGATTTTATTATTTTTTTCAGGTCTTCAATATTTACATGAAATGGAAATCGCTCACAGAGATATGAAATGCGAAAATGTTCTTTTAACATCGAATCTTAATGTAAAACTTGCTGATTTCGGATTTGCTCGTTACGTAATAGATAATCGAGGTAAACGTGTTATGAGCGATACCTATTGCGGTTCTTTATCCTATGCCGCCCCGGAGATTCTTCGTGCATCTCCATATAATCCCAAGATCGCAGATCTTTGGTCTCTCGGAGTCATCTTGTATATTCTATTAAATAAATCGATGCCATTCGATGATACTGATATCAAACGATTATATGAGCAACAAACAAACCGTAAATGGAAGTTTCGCAGTAAGATTGCAGAAACTTTGAGCGATCAAGTGAAGAAATTAGTAGCTCGTCTCCTAGAACCTGATGTCTCAAAACGATGGAAGATGGATCAGGTCATCAACAGCGAGTGGATCGCTATGGATCCTAGACTTTTGATTCTTACACCCGCTGAACAAGCAGCTCTTAATAATGCAATACAAGAAAAGAAAAAATTCGAAGAGAAATTTTCTGCGAAAGATCCAGTGAGAATATTAATAATAATAATATAAATATGAATTTGCATAAATTTCTAGTTTTAAATCAATAATTTTTAATTTTGTTTTTTTACTTAATAAATTAAATTATGTAATATATTAAAAAATATTTATTTTATAGAAACTATTTAAAGTAGAAGAAAAGAAAAAGACAAATGCAGATCCCAAGGCAAAACCTGAAGATGTCACCGTAATTAAGAAAGCGGCAAGAGTTTGTATTTTAATTTAATGCTTTATTAATGCTTTTTAATTATTAATGCTTTTTTTTTTAATATAAGAAATTATTTTAAAAATAATTTTTTTACTTTTCTCAGATGACGATATCCACCACTGTTGCTACTGGACCGTATTTTACTAATAAACGTAATAATAATAATAATAATAATAATAATACTAATAATTAGTTGAAGAATGTTTGAAAAACAATTTGGATTCTTTTATAAAATTGAAATTATTGAAAATTTACTAAAGTCAATATTTGATAAGTTAAAACAACATGTTATTGTTGTAAAAATTTTTCTATAATTACGGATTTAATACTTTTATACAATTTTGAAAAATTCTATTTTATTACATTCTAGACTAAATAATGATAATTATACATTAATTACTAAATATTAAACTTCCAAATTATTATTAAAATATCAAGAATTAATGAAATAACTTATCATATAACTTCTTTATATCACATAACGATAATTATACATCATTTACTATAGATATATTAAATATCAAAATCATCATTGAAACATTTAATAATTAACAATAAGTTTTCATTAAAATTTTTCCACTGTGTTTACAAAGTTATAATGAATTAATTTAACAATCTTTAATTTCATACATATCGAGCTTTCATCAAAGTTGTTTCATTTTTTGAAATACACTTTACATAATAATTGAATCTATCAACAACAGTTTCTATTCTTCCTTTGAGGGGAATCTCAATGATATTACGAGGACTAGCTAATCCTTCAAGATCCCATATACCATTTGATAATAGTAACAAAAGTTGATCATTCGGAGATTTATTTATTGAAAATACGTCCGTAACAGGCAAAATATATTGTTGTATATTCCCCCATGGTTGATAAAGTAATACTAGAGTCTGTGAAGTCAATCGCAAGATAATCCATAATCCAAATCCATGCCACTTTTGTTCCACAAACGCATCCATTATATTGGGAAAATATAAATCTGAAATTTTAATTAAATATATTACATTGTTATAATTTTTCATTATTTTTATTATTTTTAGATTATTAATAGCAGTCTGTAAAGCATTTATATACTATGCACGTATTCAATTGTAATTTAAAATAATGTTATATTTATTTCGAGAGAATATTTTAAATTGTACATTTTTTGTATGTAAATGAATAAATTACACAATTTTCTTCTTTTTCTAAAAAACTAGTATTAATTTTATGCAGTATTATTTGTGATATTTTACAACATTATTTTATTTTAAAAAATAAAAGCCTAAAATTTAAAGAAATTCAAATAAAAAACAATATTTATTTATTACTTATTGATTATATAAATTATTCTTTATATTTTTAAGAGTATTGATATAAAAATTAAATCAATATATTTTTCAATAACAAATCAAAAATTATAAATATTCAAAAATAATTCGGAGATAAAATTGATATTTAAATAATGATTCAATAATTTGATAATGATTCGAATAAGAGTTAAAATTATTTTGACAAGATACACATTTCAAAGATAAATTGAAATTAAATAAGTATACAAACCTATTAAATGAACAAAATTATTTCCTACGTTAATAAATGAATATATGGATATGGAATTAAATTTTACAAGAACAATGAATTCTTTTTCGTCTATCATTATTGATTGTAGCAATATAAAATTGCCGATATTTGTTTGAAAAATAAATTCTTTTGCATATTTACTGATACAATATGAAGAAAACTTTTTAGAATTACATTGTACTGCATTATAGTGAATAATCATAGATTTATTAAAAACATTGATAGTGTCATTTATAATCTCCAATTTATTTATATAAATTGCTCGATCTGTAATGGCAACCAAATATTAAAATATTCATTTCAAAGATTTTTTTTTTAATAAAAAAAAAATAATGAAAATGAAAAAATACTTTGTAAAGCTATATTAATTATTTCTGCAGTTCTTATAAATCTTTTCATCCTTTTAATAATAGTTTGGGCATTTGAGTAATTTCTGTCAAAAATTTTCATTTCTGATTTTTCATAAGCACCTTTGATTGTAAGATTTCCAATAATATTTAAGTTATTATGTAACTCAATTCCTGTTCTTATTGTTTGAAGAGAATTATTTTTTTTTAATTGATGATGTACTAGTTTAGTCAAATTTACATCATTTATTAAGCCATTAATAATAAACTCAGATGCACTGATAAAACCTTGAATTGTTTTTTGGCTATAGATTATTTGATTTGTAGATTTTCTTAATACTTTTTCTATAGCATAGCCCATTATAGTTCTAGACATTCTATATAATCAATATTAATTTTTATTAAATTAATAATTAATGATAAGTTAATAATAAATTAAATTTATTCATTACTTTATATTGTTGAATGTAACGATACTAAATTTTTTTCGTCCTTCGATGATTATATCTTTTTTTGTTTGCATTAAAGCATTAGTTGTCCATTTATTAAAATTGTAACCATTTAAATTTTCAACTATCAAAGCTAAAACTTTTTTTTTTCCAGTTACAATATTTTCTTTGGAACTATGTCTCATAATATCACTTTTAAGATATAGATTATTAATTGTTTGCTTTATATGTAAGTTTCCTGTATCTTATAAATGTAAGATTTATTATAATTATTTAAAAATCAATAAAAGAAAGATATTTAATTTTTCTTTTATAATTATATAATTATTATTACCTGAAATTTTTAATTTATTGAATATCCATTTTGTCTTCACTTCTTGATCTTTATTTTTTAGCAAAGAATTTTCAAGTATATTATTGAAATCTGATAATGAAGATATTATAGTTGAAATATTTGAACTTACAATGTTAGAAATTTTGATATCATTAAAAGATGCAGGAAATTCTATTTCCTGTAACTTTGTTTTACTTAAAATAGATTTCAAAATATTGTTCCACATTTTGAAACTTAATATATTTGTTAAATTCTAAAAATTGATCATTATTTTATTAATTTAATTTTATTATATTAAATTTAATAATTTAATATAAAATTATTAATTATATTAAATTTAAATATTTTATATTACTATATTATTAAGATAAAATATACATATTAATTTTATTGCTTACATTTAAAGCAACATATTTTTTTATCATTATATCATGAAAGTGCATATTTTTTCCATGAAGTATTGTTATAGTATTTGTTATCATCCAAATTTCTGAAGATAATTTTTTTAATTTGATATCGTTTACATTTTTTATGATTGGTTCATAACAAAATTTTATAGATCCCATAATGGAAATATCAACTAGAGTTTTGTTTTCAATAATTTTAAAAACATATGGTAAATTTATTGCATTTACTTTAATGTTTCCAGAAATTCTTTTTTTATAAAGATTAAAATCCTTTTTTATATTTATCAAATTGAATGGAGGATAAGAAACATATATATCATTTGTACTGATACCATTACCTAAAATAAAATTATAATAATTAAATAACTAAAATAATAATAAATAATAAATATATAAAAATGAATATGAAATAATGAATAAAAAAGAAAGTTTATAACTTACGAAATGTTATATTTTGCATAGATACCATATCATTAAACTTTATAGTATTCAACAAGAAATTGCTGAAATTTATTCCATTAATATTATTTACAAGAACATTTTGTTGAAATATTATATTTTTTATTATTTTAGGCATTTCTATATAAAATTGAAGAGGTGGTCGAAGAATATTTGTTATCAAGTTTATTGTATTTATTGAAGTATTAAGAAAATTAGGCTCAATCCATATATTTACAAGTCTTTTCAAATCTATATAATTAAAAAATAAATTATTATAAAAATATAATATATAATATTATAATAATAATTTATTGAATGATAATATTAAATTATAATATTGAACACAAAATATAATATTATATTTTATGTTTAATATATTTAATATAATAGTATATAAAAAATTATTTTTATTTTTTTTATTATTTACCTGTTAAATTTAAATTATTCAGCTGTAATGCAAATATATTTTTTGCAATGATATTATGACAGTATTTCTTTTCATATAAAACAGGGTTGAAAGAAATTGTTGAATTATTAGTAGAATATAGACCTATATTTCCAAAAATGTGCGAACTGATTAATTTTTGTACAGTAATATTATTCCCTGTTAAAAATAAAGTTCTAATTTTTGGTGCAAAAATAAAAGTAGCACATAATTTTGAATCCTTTAAGAATAAATTCTTATTCCTTTAAATAAGAGAATATTATTTAAGTATATTTATTTTATGTTACTAAATTTTTAATTATCATAAATATTAAATAAACATACAATGAAAATTTTAAATTGTCATAAGAAAACTTTGTTATCTGTACATTATGAAAAATATGCTTCTTTCCTGATATAATACTAATATTTTGAAAATTCACAGTAATCCATTTTTTAGGACTATGTAATGTAATATTGCTCCATTTCTAAATTAGAATTCAAATTATTTTTAATTATTATTATAAAAATATATTATAAAAATTATTAATAAAAATTTATATTATTATTATTTTTTTTTTTTTACCATTTTTTCACTTGAAAGAATTAAAGATATTGGTACATTATCATATAAAGTTATTGCATTTGATAAAGTATTTTTGATTGATCCTGTTTTGGTAATTAAATCTATGGATTTCAAGTTCTCAATTTTAACATTTTCTAAACTGAAATTATTATACAAATTCATGGATTTAGTAATATCTATTACAGGTCCTAATCTTATTGATCCTTTCCCAGTTTGTTTCCCTTTTAAAGAAATGTTATTCTTTATTTTTAATTGAGGTGTTTTGATGAAATTAATAACTGTTGTGGATAAACTATTTAATGGTAATAAAATTCCACCAGTTATTAAGTTTAATTGTTTAACTTTTATCTCTTTTAATCTTATTTCTTGATTTGTAAAATAAGTAGCAATATTTAATGGCATAAAAATATTTATTGCCTTCATATTAATAAAAATATGCTTTCCTAAAATATATATATATATATATATATCATAAATTATTTTTAACATATATCTCTTATTTTATAATTATTATAAAATATTTATAGTATTTTTTTAATTATTAAAAAAAATGTATTACCAAAGATTTCTTGATCATTAATTATTTTCAGAGCATTTTTTTGTAAATAATTTAAAGATATTCCATTAATCAACTTGTGAATAATAATATCTTTTATTGCAAAACTTAAAAGTGGACATTTCCAATTTTTTATTTCTTTGATATTTAATTCTTTAAAATCCGATAGTTGATTTTTATTTTTTGATATTATTAACTTGAATAGGAAATTATGATTTTCTTTTACATACAATCGATTAAATTTACAATTTGTTTTACATTTTATTTGAATTTTTTTTGCATGCAATGAAGCAACAATTAATTTTTTAGACTGCCACTTATTATTGATAATAATCTTTTGTGCTTGAAATTTATTGATCAATCTATTGTATAGTTTTGATGCATTTTTCAATATTTGTAAGTTATAATCATTTATCTATAAATGAAAATTTACATTAGATTGGCATTATTTTATTTAAGTTTAAATGATCTTACATTGTGAACTTGAAGTTGATCAATATGACCCTTCAAAATTTTAAAATTTAACTTAAAATTTGGAATTTCTTCTGTTATTTTTTGAAGTTTATTCTTGACATTGATATTCCATATTTTTATTTCTTTTCGTAAATTTTTGTAAGATTTTTTTTTAATCCAAAGTAGTTGTTTTAATGTCCATTTATTATTTTTATTTTTAATTAATAATAATTCTTTTCCATATAATGTTACTAGATTATATTGAATAATTCCAAATAATTTTGTATTTATTTTTATAAATTTCCAACCATCATATTGATAAGCTATTATGGTGTTTTTATGTAAAGTTAAGATTATAATAGCTTTATTTGAAATAATTGGTACAATAATCTTGCTAAAAGAAATTTGTTGAAATGGTACAAAACGATTATGTAATTCCTTATAAATAATAATAGAAGATTTCATTGATAAAATTAAAAAATATTCCATGAAATGTTGTTTATTTAATTGAAAATAAGAGACATCCTGACTTGGTGGTAATCTTTGTATGATTAAAAATTTATTAGATTTTAAAAAATATTTAAAAATCAATGTAGTAGATCCAGTTACTGCTAAATACATGAATCCTTTATTTTGAAAAGGAATTATTTTTTTTGTACTAATATTAATAATCTGCATTAGATCAAAGTAATTATTAAACCAGGTATAAATTGAAATATTTGAATGAGAAACAATGGCTAAGCGTAATTGATTAATTCCATTCCATATCGATAAATGCGTCGTATTATTTAATTCAAAATCTTGAATTTGTTGCAGATAATATTTGTCTAAAATTTTAGTGAAACTTAAGATAAGTATTGGTCCATTTTGATTTTGAATTATAAAAAGGGCTCCATAAGTACAATTGTTTACAATTATTTGTGTTCCATTTTGTACAAAATAATTACTAATGTTATAAAAACTTCCATTCTAAAATTAATTTAAATAATTTAAATAAGAATATTCGATATTTTCATTTTGATTTTATAAAAATAATAAAATATATATATAATATAATAATTACATTTATTTGATATAAAGATAATTTGGAAGTATCCAAAATTACAACAAACCATATTGTTTCAAATTCATATTGAAAAGAAAAAAAATTTATATCTTGAACATCTTCAAAATTTAATTTATTGATGTTTTGAAATCCATTAAGTATATTAATATCATCTGTAAAGTTAATAATTTAAAATTAAATTCGATTTAATACAAATGATTATTATCGATTTAACAATTTAATAATCGATTTATTTGTTTACATATATGTGTTTGGTATCAGCTGATACCAATAACTTTAACCTTTTGAACCTATTTCATTTTTATTTTATTTTATTGTCGTAATAATACTAAATATTATGGTCAATTACTGTTCTTATTATTATTAATTTTTCTTTTAGATTATAAACTTCTATATATATGTTTCAACGTGCAATATGTCCACGTATGAAGAACTAAGTGAAAATTTAACAGCTCAAGTTTACGAATTAGAAGCATTACAATCTGTTTATCCAAAAGAATTAGTAATTGGCGATCATGGAGTATTGGCTCATATTAATGAGTTCATTAAAAATCCTATGAACGAAGTGCCTCAAAAATTGGAATATTCAATTGAAATTTCATTAAATGATGTAAGATTAAAAAAAAATATTGTAATCAATGTAATATATCAATATCTGTATTAGAAATGAAGAATTTGCTCATTCACAGGGATCAATAGAATTATTAATTAGTTTATCATCTAACTATCCTAAAGAAAAACCAGAGATTTATGCAAGAAGTTCTTTTCTCAATCGAAGTCAACAGTTGCTTTTGAATCAATCATTAAATGATATTCTTAAGCAGCAAAAGGAGAATGAACCTTGCATTTATATGTTAATATCATGGCTGCAGGATAATGGTGAAAATTATCTTACAGAATCTAATAAAAATAAAGATAAAAAACTTAATAATAAAAACAAGAACAAAGAACATGAGAAACCTACAAATTTTTCCAGATATTGGATTTATAGTCATCATATATATAGTAAATTTAAAAGAAAGAAAGTAATTGATTTAGCACAAGAAAATTGCCTTACAGGTTTTTGTTTGGCAGGAAAACCTGGAGTAATTTGTTTGGAAGGTGCTTTAGAAGATTGTGTTTATTGTTGGCAAAAGGTATCAATTTTTTTAGTTTAATAAATTTTTCATTTCATATTTTCATAATTTCAAAAATTTTAGATAAAATCAATGAATTGGCAGAAAATATTATTACAATTAGAAGAGAGAGAGGAAGATTGTAAAAACATTGATGAAATGCGTAAATTCAGCAATTTTCAAGAGATATCATTTAATAGTTCAGGACGTCATAATGATATGGGTCAATTATTAAAATATTTAATGGAACATACATTGCAATATGCATTTAAAGAATTGTTTGGTATTAGTGGTAAATCTACTCAAATATAAGATTAATAAATAAATATTATCATGTAAATAAATATTTATAGAAAAGAAAATACACATACTTATTATTTCTAAAACTAAAATTATTTTTAAATGTATATGTGCTTACCTCTTTCAGAATTTTCATATAATTCTCTTTTATGACGAAAAGAAATTTTTGATGCATTTTTAATGTATTCCATAATATTTTTATTAATTTTAGACAATGTATTATTATTAAAATCTTTTGATGCTAAAAATGAAATTTTTAAATAAAATATAGAAATAACATTTTAACTTTATATTATTATTAAGAAATTTATACCATAGTTTAACTTCAATTTTTCAAAGAAATCAGAAGTATATTTAAATGCAGTGTTTACAAAATAATTTTCTTTTGTATATATATCACATGTTGTAATATTAATTAATATTAAAATAAACAAAAATTTCAACATATTCAAATTCAAATTTCAAATTCATATTCAAATTCTTATTACTTAGAGTATTGATTCATAACTAGAAATTATGGATAAAAGGAAAGTCTTTAAGTATACATAAAGACAAACATGTATGTTTATATTTTTTTCATTCTTGATAATAGAATTAATTTGAATTTAAATATATGTATAGATATATAATATACAATTTTATATAGATTTTTACTCATCTAATTTTTAATGAATATTTTATTAATATTCAAGAAATAAAATAACAATATGAGATGATAATTAAAAATCAAATTTGTAATAGTAAGAAATTAATAATATTTATTTTTTTATCTAACTGTAGCATAACGCAAAAATTCATTTGTAAGAAATTGACCTGCAATATAGGAAGCAGGTGGTCCAAGAATATCTTGTGTTGGACTATAAACATTAATTTGCCTCATATGTGTATCTCGTCCATTTTGGTGGTTACTTATTACAGCTATTTGTATCATAAATGTTCTAATAGGTCTGTCATTTATATCTTTTATAGGAATGATAACCCAGCCACTTGGTTCATTTAGATCCATGACTTCTATTTCTTGAAGATCATTAAAGTTTGTGCCTGCTCTAATACTTATTCTAAAAATATAATATATATTTTACTGATAACAGTAATAATTAAATAAAAATTTATTATTTCCAGCTAATAAAAGATATAAATTTCCTACCTACTAGGAGTATAACTTTCATCTAGCTTATAATCTGTATATATACATATATCACAAATTGTTGTTTTTCTTTTGAACTGAATGTTTACCAAATGTGGAAGTTGTCCATCAGATTGCCAATAAGTTTCTGTGATATCATCGCGTAATTGATCTACACCAAAACCAGGTTTACAACTAGATAAACTCCAAATTGCATGATTTCCAACTTCACGTACACGACCTGCTAATTCTTTTTGTATAGGATCTATCTCTCCTATAAAAATAAAATTATTACAACAAATAGTTTTTTTAAAGATAATTATATTACATGAAAATCATTTATATTACCAGTTTTATTGCTCATTATTAATTTTAAAATTTAGATAATTAATTATAAAAAGTTTTAATAATCTAAAATTAAATTAAATAATTTTTTATTAAAGTAAATATTAAAATACATAAATATATTAATATTTATTTCGAAACTTATAAAATAATCTTTAAAAATATAATGTTTTTTCCTTTGCTGCCATCTATGATCAATACATAAAAAATTTTAAATATAAAAAAATGTTAATAATTAATATTAATATTAATATTATTTTTTTATATAAAACATATAACAACTTTCATAATCTTTGACTAAATTGTATTAATGTCAAAAGAAGTATTTTGTTTTATATTGTCTAATGAAAACGCATTGAGAAACACTGTAGTAATAGATCAGTGGTACCCAATTTATAATTCATCAAATGGTTAGGAATAAACAATTGAAAAAGAACGGAACGAAATGGATCAAATAAAGATTCCAAAGGTATCAAAATAAATATCTGTTTTATGTATAGCAAAGTTGTTTCATGAATAAATTTTAAATCATAATTTCGAACATCTATTAATATATTATTCACCAATATGTTTTATTAGCCGCTACATTGATATCAATGAAAAAAAAATTGTTTATATAATTATATAAAAATAATTAAAAAATTTTTTATATTTATTTCTAATAAATAAAATTCATAAAATATATATTTATTGATAGCTTTGAAAGATAATTAATATCATAACAATATATAATGCTATTATGACATCTGTCATTATAAGTGCAAATTTTATGATTTTAGGTAGAAAACGTCAGAATTTTAGATAAATATAGTAACAATCATTCTATTGGTACTCTTTACTTAACAGTAACACATCTTATATTTACAGAACGAAATGGGAAGAAAAAAATTTGGGTATGATAATAAATAAGTTATATTAAATTTTAACTATAATTATTTAATATAATTACATATTTATTTTTTTTTTCATTTTCATTTTCAATTAATGTAAATATTCTTAATATTTTTTATTTTAGATATTATATACTCATATTGCAAATATAGAAAAACAACCATTAACTACAACAGGTTGTCCATTGTGCATTAAATGCAAACATTTTTATATTGTAACATTTGTCATTCCAAAAGAACGAGATTGCCATGATATATATCTTACCTTATCAAAATTATCTTGTCCAGGTAATATATATTTTTATAGTTAAAAAATTTATTTAATATCATGTTTTTTTTTCAGTAAGTATAGAAGATCTTTATTGTTTTCATTATCAGCCAATTAAGGACACCTTACCACAGCACGCAGGATGGAATTTTTTTAATGTGCAAAGTGAATTTCAAAGACAAGGTGTTCCAAATGAAGAATGGTCTCTAACATATTTAAATACAAATTATGAGGTATTAATGTCTATAGTTAATTATATATATTTAATATATAATATAATGTTATATATTTAATATATATATAAGATTTATAAATATATTTTATATATTTATTCATTTAATTTTTAGCTCTGCGATACTTATCCAAAATATTTATATGTACCTAGCACATGTGCCAATAGCATCTTAATAGGTAGTGCAAAGTTTAGAAGTAGAGGAAGATTACCAGTTTTAACATATTTACATTCCAATAAGGTATATATTAAATGAAAACTCTTGAAAAAATTAACAGATTATAAATGATATATTTTATAGGCTGCTATTTGTCGATGTAGCCAACCTTTATCAGGATTCAGTGCACGATGTCCTGAGGATGAACAAATAATGTATAATATTTTGCGTACAAATAATAGTTCTAAATATATGTATGTTGTAGATACACGACCACGAGTGAGTTAAATCCATTAAAATATTTTTATAATTAAAATTTATTTTTATAATAAAAATTATTTTGATAAGCTATTATAAAATTTGTTTCAGTTATATAATTTCAATTTCAATTATTCAATTTTTTAAATTTCTAAGAAAAGTTAATTTTTTATTTTATCTATTTAGATCAATGCCTTTGCTAATAGAGCTACGGGAAAAGGATATGAAAATGAGAACTTTTATGATAATATAAAATTTCACTTTTTTGGTATTGAAAACATTCATGTAATGAGAACGAGCTTAAATAAATTAATAGATTGTAAGCATAAATGTTTCAAAATTTCTATGCAAATTATAATTTTTTATTATTTTGATATTTTTAATTATTATTTAGTACAAAGAATGACATCAATGACTACATTTTTAAATAATTTGGAAAGCAGTGGATGGTTAAAACATATACGATCTATTTTAGAAACTGCTTGGTTTATTGCTAGGGCAGTTTCAAACGGAGTTAGTGTAGTAGTACATTGCAGTGATGGCTGGGATCGCACTGCTCAAGTATGTTCATTAAGTGCTCTATTATTGGATCCATATTATAGAACAATTCAAGGTTTCCAAGTAAGATATGAATCATTGATTTAATTATAAATTTATAGTATATATAATTTAATTTCTTAAATATAGAAATATATATTTTATTTTATTTCTAGGCTTTAATAGAAAAAGATTGGTTGGCTTTTGGACATAAATTTAGTGATCGTTGTGGTCACATTAACTGTGATAATAAAGAATTAGCACCAATTTTTACACAATTTATTGATGCAACTTATCAATTATTGTTGCAATATCCTCATAAATTTCAATTCAATGAATTTTTCTTAATAACTCTCCATGATCATGTACATAGTTGTCAACATGGTACTTTTATAGCAAACTCAGAAAAAGAAAGACAAATTTTAAGGTATCATTTTTAATAATTTAAATAATTTATAATAATTTATTCATTATATCATTTAATTTCTATTTAATTATTTTTAGACTATCTGAAAGAACATACTCTCTATGGGGATATATAGCAAATAATATGCATGAATATATAAATCCTTTATATAAATGTAATCGATTCAATGAAGATACTAGTTCTGTTCTTCAACCTAAATTAGCACCACAATGCATCACGTAATATATAATTTTTTTATGTTTACATATTTAGATACTATAAATTAAAATTCCATAAAAAAGTAATTTTTCAGTTTATGGCGAGGATTATACTTCAGATTTGAGAATGGTATTCATCCAAGAGAGACATACGAAGATTATCTTTTAATAATGCATGATCATACTAGTTGTTTAGAAGATCATGTTAAACTTCTTTTGAAGGTATAAAGTTAATTATTTTTATTTTTTTTATTAAATTTCTAATATTACTATCACAATATTAAATAGAGAGTCAATTCCTTAAATTCATTGAATTTAAATAACATCCAAAAAAGGGGGATACAAACGAAATTAAAATTCGATAATAAATATATGAAAGATCCATTATCTGAAACTATCATAGAGAATACAAATCATGAAGAAAGATCAATGTGTAAGTTAAAAATTAATCAATTACAAAATGAACTAAAAACAGTTGCTTTAGACTGGAAGTTATTTAGAAATATGGAAGAATGTACATGCTCTACAACATTTGATGCATTTAACAAAAAGGTGAACTTAAATATATACTTAAGGATTTTATTTAGAATTAATAATTTATATTTTCTTCTTTCTTTCTTTAGCATCACTGTTGGTCATGTGGAGAAGTATTATGTACAAGATGTATGGGTGCACATAGTATTCTTGCTGGACACCATTCGCAACGCGCAGTACCTACTTGTAAGTCATGTACGCAGAATTCTAATATTCCTTCCACTAGTCCTTAAATTGATTCCTTTAAACATTTATTTAAATTTATAATCTGTACCTAAAATGTATATTATATATGACAATTAAATGATGTAATATGAAAATAGGAATAAGCAAATAGTAACATTAATTATAAAATCACTCTGATGGAAATTGTGCATTGTGCATATCAGAAAATTGTATATCACATATTTTCATTTTATATAATTATTTAGTATTAATTATATAATTATTTAGATAATATTAGTATAATAATTTAATATGAAATAAAATATATTCATTTTAAACAAAAAAAATATACATATAATATTATAATTTTAAATTATTAAATTATAATTTTATTTTAATGATTCAACACAGATTGTATCATAATAGCTATTCTTCTAAAAATGTATTACTTTTTTAAGTAGTGTTTTTAAAATTAGAGATAAAAGTAAAAAACTTTTTAAAATTAAAATTAAAAGTAAAAAATTAAAATTTAACTTAATATTTTATATTT